ATATTCGATAATTCGTAAACCTTGAAACTTATTGATCTTCTTTAACGAACAAGGATCTGCTCCCCAAACCTGACCTTGCCCTGCCCCAGGTCTTGCAGGTCTTGCAGGTCTTGCGCAGAATCCGCAAAATCCACACTTCTCTCACACATAGCTTGTGTCATTCTTCATCCCGTCTCCCCTTTCATAAATCGTGATTCGGAGGGATTTGAATCTCTAGTGTCTACCTGGCACACTAGCGCTGTAGGCCGCGTCTGGGTCCGTGCTGTGTCTGTAGCGTAGCTAAAGCACGCTAACGACTCAGTCTTCCTAATAGGGTAAGTACTAACCCAGGTCTATCCTAGTCATCCTAGTCATCCTAGTCATCCTAGTCTTTTTTAACTCCTCTGCTCCTAGAAATATCCTGGGCTAAAACAGTAAAACCGATACGTACCAGCCCTGGAGAAACGGTACGTACTTCTTTTTTTTAGGTACCGACAGGGTAAAGTCTGTGCTTCTGGAACTTGACTGCCTCTGGAGTCTGGCCTCTGGCCTCTACCTGTAGGTACACCTACCTAGTAGCAGTAGCACTCTAGCACATATCCTCTATTACATCTCTCTCTCTCCCTGAAGGAAACCGCTAATAACATGGGAGGTCGACCCATCAGCGTGCCCCTCTTTCCGCCTCGAAACCTTTCTTACCCTTTCCTCCCTTCGACTTTTTTTTACCTTACCTTAATCCCATACCTTCCGTACTCGTCTTTGGTCGAGTCCTTTCGCTACACTTTTTTTGCTCCCTGTTAATCCTTCCTTTCCTTTCCTTTTCTGTTCTTTAATATTTTTCTCTTGGGGGAAAATCAATTCTGGTACGGTTCGTATATACAACCATCTACAATCGTCAACTATCAAAAGTCAAGTCGAGTCTCGTGCTGCTATTTTCGTTCGATTTTCCGAATCTCCAATTCAAGCCACTTTTTTTGGTATCTGTCTATACCATACACCCATAACCCATACCATATCATAAACCATAGTAATACACCGATTCCATCGAACCGGCAGACATCCCTCACTCTCCGACAGCCAGTTGCCCACATTGTGCGACGAGCCCGACGCAGCGCGACAGGAATTTACATACTGGTGTGGTAGTATCGAGAAAGGAAAAAAAGATAAGGAGACTCAAGCATTCATTAATTCATAGCCGACCTGAGAGACATCGTATCAAGTCGAGAACAATTGTAGAGTTACAAAGTCCGAAGCAGAAGAAAGACAAAGGAGGGGAAAGAAAGAAACGCCAACGTTATCGGATCCGATCTTCAGGGGGCACCTCTCGAACCGACAATCGACAATTCGACGTTCGACCTCATCCGAACACCTGGCTATCCGGTTTTCACCTTCCTCGGCAGACTTATTCGCAGTCGACTATACGACACCATACATCACCACATTTCAGCCCCTTCGGCACCAGCTCATATCTGATCCGCTTCGGTTCAAGGCCCGATATTTGACGAGCAAAGCGCGCGATACTTAACTGAATTACCTGCTTACTCGGAGCTGACGCGCATCTTGCCTATTCGTTCATCGTACTGTTCATGATTGGCAAGCTAAGGTAGCTCATCAGAGGAATTAATAGGTTAAATCGATCGAGCCATCGATCATTGGCGCGTTTGAACACCCTACCAATACGGAGTCGGGCAGATTCAAGAAAAAAAGGAGAAAACTGATCATTATTGGCCACAAAGCCATTCGCACAAATAGTTCGGGACCCAACATCAATACTTCTGCGACTTAGGCTCTGCAGAGCGTAGTTGTGAAGGAGGGCTCAAAGCTCAGAGTGCGCCTCATCTTTTCGTCAATTTATTTCGCTGACGTCTGGAGCGTCTTGTCAGTCCCATCGCTGCAACGCTTCAAGACTTTTGCGCTCATTTTTCCTTTTTCTCGCTGCCAACTCCCGTGTGGCGCATCCAGCCATTTCAGCCGGGAATAAAAATAAGAGAGGATCAGCGATCAGCGATAAAAAAAAAACCAAGGAATAACAAGAAAAAAACTCAATTCCAAGCTAACACCAGCCGTACCTGGAATTACCACATTAAGTAAGAACATTTGAAAGTTTTTTTTAAAAAAGAAAAAAAGCTCAAAGCTTTTTTTTTTAATCTTCCATCATGAGCGCGGCGATCGCTATGGCCCCTTCCCCGGCTCCCCACGATAGACCGGCTTATGCTGAGTTGGCTCCTGCGGGTAACAATTCATCAACCGCTACTGGAAGTGCCGCTGCGCCGACCTCATCACCTTCCGTCCCACGCACTTCAGCTGCGGTTTCGGGCACTCCGAACACCAATGCTTCTACCACCACAACGCAACGTCCAACCAGCCGAAGTCCCACCAGGTCGGCTGCCCAGACCGCGGCAAAGTCTTCACCACCAAGCGCGTAAGGTCTCCTTGTTTCTTTTCATCTCATTCTATTTTCCTTTTTCTTCATCTGGGCTGCTGGGTCGAGACCGATCCTTCAATCCATAATGTGAAAAAATTTGATCCAATTAGAAAGAACATATTCTCTCCTATGTGCTCTTATCATCAGACCGGTCTGAGAAAACCAATTTGCTTACTCGCGTGCCTTGCAGTTCACGAAATGCTCCGGGAAGTTCGGCACCAAAGATTATTGTGAAGAAGGAACCAGGATCTCCCGAGGTAGCAGTTGCTCGCCATCGCCCTCGAAAGCTGGATTTGTCCAAGAACACCCTCACTGGGTCAGGCGCTGCGACGGCACGCCCGGCGTTAGGTAGAGAAGGGCTCGGCATCCAGGAAGTAGGCATAGCGTGTCTGTCGCCTGGTTTTGTTACCCAAGATCCTGTGATGAAAGAACACCTACAACAGAGCATGACTGTCAGAGAACAACAACGCCGTATCATTGAGGCTAGGCTACAACAACAATCGGCGAAGGGTGACGGTCCTGATAACGGAAAGGATAAGGACCCTGTTAGCCAATTTGCCGCAAAGACCCCAGGAATGTCTCGAAGAAACAAGGCTCCTCCGGGGTTGAGCATCGTAGCGCCCTCCCACGAGCAGTTCGCGAATGAGCGAGTCATTCAGTCCGCACCGCTAGGCCAGACATTTACAGGCCGCCACAACCCTCAGCCTTTGACTCGACATCTTGCTAACCAGCCCTCAAACCTTTCCAGCACATCACACATCCACCACATCCCAGCAAACCAAACTGCTAACCGCCTGCCACCGATATCTGACGTATTTGGTGGTCAGGGGCTTCCTTCGCACACAGAATCAGGCCGTCAAGCCTTATATCCCGGCTCAAGTCATGGGCCGTTAGCGTCTCCCGGCCACCCGCCGCCAGGTCCTTCGCAGCCGCCCATGTCGGGTCGAGCGCGAGAGTATAAATCGGCTGAGGAAGTACAACACGAATTGGCTGGTGGACGACCAGAATTATTACCCAAGCTCGTTCACTACACCGGGCATCAACCCCCGACGCCTCCGTCGCCCCGGAACGGAATGAACCCCTTGGATGCCAACCGAGGTACGAGCAAGCGAAGAACGCGTGCTGAGTACGAGGAAGGTAGCAGCCCCCCTCTAGGTCATGGACCTGCAGCCACTCGAAGAGGACCATTTGGAGCAGGACGAGATAGCCCCGAAACGCAACGACAAAAGCGTGAAGAATTCTTGAGGTTATGTGAGAGAGCTTGGGATCTGTTCCACTCATGAGTCATAGGCGACGAATCTTACCGCGGCGGATCCAATTGACATTTCCTGCAACTTGACGATTTTACGCCACGGTATGAAACACATAACGGCCTGTTCGCGTGTACATGCTCCGATAAGGATTTTTATTTTTGGGAGGCGATGTATGCTTTTTGCTGACGGGCAACGTCTTAACTCCACGTGACGATCCATGCTCGCTAACCTAGTCCCGCGGATCCAATCCCGTTCCTCTGATATGGGCTTCCTTTTGTCGCGGGATCCAGACACGAGCACGGATCGGGGGATGTAATGTCTTAAAAACTGAATACGTCGCTACGGGGTGACGGCATTTCGGCACGAGCAGCTTCGGCGAATATCCTGGGCGCCATCAGAGGCGGGAGCTTTCCGGGCGGCCGTGTAGGGACGCTCGATCTCTTGGGGACCTTGATACCCAATACCGATGTTGGTGGAAGAAAAGATGATCAGGGGATGTTCTTTTTCCTTTTTGTCGTTTTTCGGGGTGGGTTGTCATCTTTCGTCTCTTTTCGGAGGTGAAAGAGCCTTCAAAAACATGTGTTTTTCTTGACGGCGGGAGGGCGGTCTTAAGAGACGAAGTATGAACGGGGTGGTACATCTGTTTGAGGGCCGGGCGGGGATTCCGAGGCAGTCGTGACCACAATAAGAGGCATGCCGAGCGGAGGGACGGAAAGGGGGGAAAGGCGTCATGTTGTATTTATTTTGCTACCCACAGGAGCATCGTGGCTCACAGGCTCGGGGAAGGGAAGGGAAGGAATGGCTTTGTGCGTAGAGGCCGGTTCGTATCAGGAGCGAGCCCGGGACTCCTACGGGAGCGGGTTCAGGTAAATACATAATATGGCTCTTTCCCGACTCATGGGCCTTGTGATGAATAGATCTTGAATCTACACTCTCCGGAATTTTTTTCTAGCGCTTTTTGTGATTCTTATCAATGTATATTCCAGCCAATTAAGCTAGGTGGATATGGGTATAAGAGCTTGCGTGTTTAAGGATGTTAGTGTAGGTCTCGGTACCTAGAGCATCCATTACAAAGATATCGTGAGACAACTCTACGTAGTATTAGTCAAACAATGTCAGGATTAGGGTTATACTAGATGTTACTTGTCAACTACTACTTCAACCCTGTGTAGAATGTTTGTCAGTTCACAAAGTTTACACTACGAATAAGCATTGTTCGCTCAGCAGTCCTTCCCCCAAATTCAGAGGGACTTCTTCTCTCCCAAAATCAAGAGTACCTATATATATATATGACAAGAAACAAGCTAAACACCATCGCAATTCAGTTCCAACTATGTTGCAGCGGTCCGTTGGCCCAATGGTAAGGCGTCTGACTACGACTTTCAACCAAAGAAGTTAAGTTAATCAGGAGATTCTGGGTTCGACCCCCAGGCGGACCTTCACTTTTGCTCGCCCTATCTGTTAGCGTGCGAAGATTTTTTTTCTTTTTGAAGATTCCCCACACACCTCCCGCCGCACGCTTACTTACAGTAGTAGTACTTCGTATACTATTTCTACCCGGAACCCCGGTACGTAATAGCACGCGACTAAGTGGGAATGGGAATAAAAAAAAGGAAGAAATTACATAGACCAAAAAAAAAATTGATAAAAAATTTCAACGTATAACACCAGGGATTCGCTGGTCGTCACCGACCCAACTACTGATCTGGCGGTACTCAGCTTATCTAAGGAGGAGCAGACGGGACCCCGAGTTCTCTGAGTCCTATGGTCGTACGTGGTAGTTTGGGAGGCTATACTGGTCTATATACCACGATGCAGCGCTGGGTGGCGGCAGGTGGAGATTATCCCGGACTTTCGGACTTGATCGGGGTAATCATGCATATGCAGGCTTAAAAACAGAAAGGGAAAAAAGGAATAGTAGCTGAAGAAAGTCTTTAACTCTATTAGATGATGTCGTCTTAGAGTAGGAGTAGAAGCCCTTAAGGGGGTGGGAGGAGTAGGGGATAGTGAGGTGAGATATCTATCCATAGTGGTGATTATTACCAATAGAAGTGAGCGGCGTAGCAGGACAAGTCCTATAGGATTTTGAGGATACGGCGTAATAAATGCTCGCTATTTTTTCTTGCAGTCCGTCTGAACCTATGCTATGATCTTACCTAATATATATGAGATGAAAACACGATGGCTGCGACTATCCTCATCACTGGAGCATCCGGTCTAATCGGCTTCCGCATCCTTCTCGCAGCGCTCGCCGGCGGGCATAACGTGCGGTATACGGTACGCTCGGAAGAGAAAGCCCACCTCGTCTCCTCGAACCCAGCAGTGCAGAAACTGGCTCTGAACGAGGCTCGTCTCTCGCCGGTCATAATTCCCGACTTGTGCGCTGACGGGGCCTTCGACGCCGCGCTAGCGGGAGGAGTCACGCATATCATCCACGCCGGCTCGCCGGTCCCGTATCCCACGCACGACCCGACGACGGATGTCTACGAACCCACTGTCAAGATGACAACGAACCTGCTATCCTCCGCGCTAAAGACACCCACCGTCCAGCGCGTCGTGATAACATCGTCCATCGTAGCGAACCTCGGTCTCACACTCCCCTCTCCATCCACCCCAACAACAACAGCATCAACCCGGGTCCCTCTCCCATCCCCCCTACCCTCCACCTTCGCAGACGTCTTCTCAGGGTACGTGACCAGCAAGATAGCCTCCCTACAACACACCGACACCTTCGCGCGAACGCAGACCCCGCATTTCGGCATCGCGCACGTGGTCCCGGGGTACGTCTTCGGGCGCAACGAGCTAGCCCTCGACGCCACCATGATGCGGTCGCGGAATAGCTCGAACAACTTCCTGATGATGGGAATGTTGGGCGCGGAGCTGCCGTTCCCGATCCACGGGGGCTTCGTGCATATCGACGACCTCGCGGACCTGCACCTCCGCGTGCTCTTTCGCTCTCCCCCCTCTTCCTCCCCCTCCGCAGCCAAAGCCAAGGTCGAGGATTACGGCGTCTCGACGCCCGTCGACTACGACGCCATCTTCGACATCATAGCCAAGGCGTTCCCGAAGGCCGTGGGGGAGGGCGTGTTCACGAGGGGCAGCGTCCCTACTCTGCCCGTGAACTACGAGACGAGCGGGGACGTGGAGGAGCTGCTGGGGAGGAAGCTGAGGACGTTTGAGAGCGCCGTGGTGGATGTGGCGGGTCAGTATCTGGAGGTGTTGGGGAAGAGTAAGGCGTGAGGATAAGATGGGGAATGTGAGAGTGATGGTTCGTCGAGGAACCCGGTATTGTAGATGTGAGAAACTGGATATACAGCATCATATTTACTATATACACATTATCATAAGTCCTATCTCGTTAAATTTTTTTTTTTAAAAAAAAAAAAAAACCACGAGCCGTCGAGCTCTAGAAGTGAGAACAGCGTTAGGTAGCATATCTCTGTATCTCCTATTAGTCTAAATTCGAGGTATTCGAAATTCGTGCTTATTTAGGTAGGTACCTTAATGAGCAAAAGAAATGGAGGATGGATGTTTCCCTCCCCGACTCAGTCTCGAATCATGATCGAGTCGTACATGAGATAATGAATGCTCATTCGTGTGTACCTAGTAAACATGTGAAACGAATATTGAAAATGAGGAGCCCGTCAAAACCTGTCACGAAGATGATATATATGTGATTCATGAATTAATCCAATATTGACTTCATAGACACGTCGTGTCGTTCGTGTTTCTCGTAATTTGAGCTATCCACTGTACGAACCGCTTAAGAGTTGATACGTATAGCTGCTGGATCTTCCCGATCCTCTGGGCCAACGCCCAGTTCGACAAGTATGTCTGAACCCCCTAGCATCCGTATCCAACTTATTTGTTGGGTAAAGTGAGGGGCACAGTCCTTCGTATGTGCGTTAGCAATCAAGGGTCCCTCCATTCGCCCGTTCCCTAAATTATAAAATATTGAAAAGGGGGGACTAGTATGTACTGTTATTCCAGAAGTATTACTGATTCGTCCCCTCAAGAGCCTCTAGACTGTTCCTTGATATCCGTGCCAGGAACAAGTTTGAGATACAAGAGGCGACGACGAGCTTCTAAACTTCAACTATACCGCCTACCACCTATCTAGTTTGCTCCGAATCAGAAGGCCCCCATGAATGAACAAACCAGATCTTGGCTATGCGACATCCGCCCCTAGTCACGCCGTCCGAGTAGGTGAACCTAACCGAGAATAAAAGGCAACCAACCCCTAGCCGCCTAGTTCCCTTTCCTCTCTGCAGCAGCCCACGAGAAATGCGAGTTATGCGTCTATCCCGATACATGACAATGAATATGAGAGCTGTCCTCCTACTTGACGCTCACTCGCAGAGCGCATGGCGCATGGCGCATCTATTCACCAATCCTGTTTTGATGCGCTGCGCATGGAATCCGGTACCGTAACCCGAGGTTTCGAGACTAAAATGTGTAATGGAGAATACGAACTCGAGAACGGAAAAAATAAATGCAAGAAACCGTGATTTCACCAAAACTCCATGCAGGATGAAAGGATGTTTAATTCATAAAGAAAATTCCGAGAACTCATGCTCGCGGGTTTGATTGGCTTATGGAGAGATCTTTTCTTCTTTTCGGCAAGGCAACGAAGCACATCAGGGTCGACATCTTCTACAGGGGATGAGGACACCAAAGGGACGATAACAGCACTCCAAGGCCAAACCTGACCATTAAAACGCCTCCGTCCCTTACTCAAAAGAGGGAAGTGCTCGTTCGGGAAAAGCGGCATCGCTTAAACACCTTCCTCACCAGCCTTGCAGAGTTTAATTTCGCGGCCCCATTCTGACTTGAGCACTTGCGATGCTGTGATACGTCGCGTAGGGTTGGGGTCTAGGATGGAGTAGATGACATTCCTACACCGTGCCTTCACGTCATTCGTTAGGATCATGCAAGAGCATTGAGTCATAGGACTATTGGTGAGAACTTACACGGTGTAACGACTCGATCGGGCCATAACCCTCTTCGTCGCGGCGCCCCTCGAGGTATCGCTCGTAAAACTCGTCCTCGTCCTTCTTGGCGACTCGCCAAAGGTGCCTTCCGGTTCTCATTGCCATATAGATGACGCCACAAGCCCAGACATCGACAGCGCGGGCGTCGAATTCCTTGTCGATGTATTCCTCGGGGGCGATATAAGGGGCGGAACCACAAAGACCCGATACCATGTGGGCATCGTTTTCCCATGCCATCCTGAAGCATTCGCCATTGCCGAAATCGGTGATTTTTAGGGCGCCATGGCTTGTCAGAAGTAAGTTCTCCGGCTTCAAGTCTCGATGCGCTACACCCATCTCGTGCAGGTACTCAACGCCGCGCATCATCTGCTTGAAATAACAGTCGGCTTCGGCCACTTCTAATTTTCCGGCGGCTAGGACGAGAGTATAAAGGTCGCCGCCGGAGCAATACTCCATGACCTCGCAGTAGTCGCCTTTTTGGTCCTTCAGCAGGTCTAGGGTGTGGATGATATTCGGATGACGCAGCGAGGAAGAGATGCAGAACTCGGCCGTGAGACGCTTGCTATACTTCTTCTCAGTTTCTTCGGGTCTGCGACGGAACTCCTTGACTGCGAAAAGCTTCTCTCCGTTCTCCACTTTCTTGTGCGATATCCTTACGATGCCGAAAGCGCCGCGGCCTACGACCTCCTGGCATTTGCCATACTTCTCAACTAAGGTAGAGCTCTGGTTAGGCCCTCCTCTCCTGTCGCCAGCCAGCGTCTCCTTCTCTTGCTTTAGAGTGTCAACCCAACTGGAGACCAAGGATAGGTCGGCTTCGGGCGGTTGGTCTTGCTTCCTTCCGAGGAGGGTCTTCCACATGTCGGATAGCTTCTCTTGTCGCTTGCTGCCCTTAAGGTGATGCTCGTGGCCGCCGGCAACATCTGGATTCATGACAAAACGTTGGTGATGGACCGACTTTGTCGCAGCAGATGGGTCAGCTGCAGATGGTTTGCGTGCTACAGAACCTTGCTTCGCTGGTGATGCGGATGCGACACCAGTCTGGCTGGGAGATGGGCTTGGGACAACACGCTTGGAGGGCTGTGAGGCATCAACAAGGCCGGATTTGGGGACGTCGTCCTTATTGGAGAACATGCGGGTTAACATATTCTTGATGGAACCCTTCTCGGGTTGCCTCGGCTGACCTTCGGCATGGAGGGAATCGTTAATAGGTTGGCCATTCTGGGGTCTAAGCTTCGGAGATTTTGTTGCGAGCTCGAATGATTTTATTGACGATTGCTTTGAGGCGCTGGGTGAAACCGTCTTTTCCGACGTGCTCGACATTTCTGAAGGATTAGAAAGTGAGGGTGCTCTGGAGGGTGCTCTATCTTCTGCACGGACGATACTAGGTTGCATTGCCAGGTGTTGAGCGGAGGTTTTTCTTCGAACAATAGGATCGTTAAAAGTCTCCA